TTCAAGGGCTATTAATAATTTGGTCCCACCCACTTCAGAAATAATCCCCTTCTGAACACTTTACTCTTTGCCCCATGTATTAGGATGTATTTCCCTATATCTGTGAGTAATAAAAATAATTACTATTCCTGTGAACTTTGAGTGTTGTTTTACCATCTTTCTAGTGCTTTTTTTCCATCTGATTTAGTATTTTCTACACATGCATATATTCTGTAAATCTTCAGAATTCATTCTATATATAGCTACCTCCTCTCTGGCACTTAAACTCACAAATTCTAGCTTTCTTGACATTTTAAAATTATGAACACTTACTTTTCTACTCAGGAAATCTACTAGACTCTGTTTGGGTTCCCTCTTTGCACTATGTACTGAAAGCTCTATGCAGGATATTAGTTTAGCAATCACAAGGCTCATATTGTTCTCCTTTTCTCAGAAATTACTGTCTTGTGCTGCTTGTAGTCCAATGCTTGAAAATAGTTATTCTATATATTTTTTATATTTGAAAGTCACTTAATGTGTAAGGATATGTCAGATTCCTATTACTTGGTCATACAAAGAAGTGGAAGTACTACATTATTTTTATTTTATCACTAGATGTCTTTAATTAATTTTAGAAAAAATAGCTCTTATCATTTTAAATTTTTTACCTACTTCATTTGTTTCCCTTAAAATTCTGTAACTCCAATTATACATTGTTAGACTTTTCAATATATTCTATATATTACACTCATTTCTTGATTTTTCTTTCTTAACTCATTGCTTCCATTTGGATATTTTCTACTTATCTAATTTCCAGTTGACTAATTTTCTCTTTAGCTCTATATAATCTATTAAACACACCCATTGATTCTCAATTGTAGTTCTTATATTTTATTTTGTGTACTACCCATAAAATCCATTTGATATCTTTTTATAATTTCTGGTTCTCATATACAATTATTTGTCTCGACATTTATTTTTTAACATGTCAATACTAATTACTTTAATTTTTTCCTCTGATAATGCCATTATCTGAATTGCCTGTGGGTTTATTCTCTTGTTTCTTTTTCTCTTAGTAAGGTTTTCTTTTCTCATATACTTAAAAATTTATTGATTGAGTGCTCAGCATTATATTGATTAACTACAATACAGTTTAGTGTCTTAATTATGTTTTACTTCTCAAGAGAGCATTTATTTTTGATTCTGACAAGAGTTTAGGCTAGGAGTAGATTACCTTTTTAAAAATGTGGAATTGAGTGATTGAACGATGCATTTCAGGCTTTGTGAACCCTTTTCTTTTTTTCCTTTATCCCAGTGAATAGAGTTCAGAGGTTTCTACTAAGCGCCTAGGGAACTTGCAGAAAGTCTTCGTGTCTAATCACCTAAACTCCCTTTTTTTTTCTTTTCTTTTCTTTTCTTTCTAGCCTGTGAGAGTGGTGAAACATGTACTGAGGCTCTTAGACACCACTTAAAAACTGCAGAGAAATGTGGCATTGAACATGAAGCTCTTAGTTTAGGTCACCCAAGAAGCAGACGCAAAGACAAAATTAGACATTAAACAGATGTATTCACTAGAATGCTTGTGAAGGAAGATGGTAGAAGAGAAGGTGGAAAGATCCTTTTGGATCTAACTCCTGTGAAGGAGAAGAGGAAGGATGGAAGGTTGTGTAGGAAGGGACTCAGTCTATACCACGGTTATAAGAATATTTCACCTAGGCTGACAAGGAGTCCTCAAAATGTGCAGTAACTAGCCTGAATTTATACCCTTGCCATGCTCAGTAATTGGCTGAAAGTGGCCCAGTGTAAGTGTGTCTTCAGCATAATGCCATGATACATCAATAAGAGCAGAAGGTGGAACTACCAGCTATTCTCCCTGTCTCAGGAAATCTGAGAGGGACATTTCCATGGTCACCAACAGGCTCCTGTACTGGCTTTGTGTTTCATTCGTTTCTCTCTACATGGTCGCCTTGTCTTTTAAATCCTCCTTGACTTCGTAGAGATCTGTGCATACTTACACACACATTTGTATACACATATACAGAGGAAGACAGAGACATAGAGAAATTCTGGATTTTTATATTTTCTTAGAATAAAGATTGGTGTAATAAACTAGTTCATAATAGCAGAAAGGAAGAGTATAATACCACTTTAAAATGTTTGTTATAGATTCAACTTCAGTTTATACAAATGACACATGCACTTCAAAATGTGATGTCTTTTGTATATGGCAATCCAATGTTATTTGAACTGAAATTATAAATAAAACACAAAAAACTGTAGAAAATAACCAAAGATATTCAATTTGAAAAGGACAAATAAATATATTTTTTCAAATATTTTAAGGATGTCATATGAGAGTATTTGAATTCTTGCAGCTTAAAATAAAATCAAGTATGGAAAGTTACATCAAGATATATTGTTAATCAAAATAAAGCTTAACTTGCTAAAATGTCAGCAACTAAAATTTTCCAATATTGTCATACATTGCTGAATAGGTACTTAATTTAACCAGAAACTAAACAATCATTTCTACAGATCATAGGAATGATTGCTTCTTTGCTTAGAATTTGAATGTGAAATCAGAAGTCATTTAGGGACTTAGGGATCATTCAGTTGTGAGTTTCTTAGATCCAATTCCCTCTAAACATTCATTATAAGATTATTTTGTGGTCCTCCTTCAATAAAGTGTTTATCAAGCATCTATATAGCCCTTCACATTGGAATAGTTACTGTATAGTTTACTAAAGGTCCTGCAGGTATGTCTGGCTTCAGGTAATTTAAAATTCCCCTTCTCGGTTAAATTTCTCCTATGATTCTTTTGTCCTTCTCTTTTCTTCACTTCTTAATTTTCCCCTCCATTTTCTACCCATCATACATGATATGAATAATTGTAACTACAGTATGGTTTGTAGGTTCAGTATGTGAAAATAGCATTTTGTATTCTCCATGTATTATTGGGGAGTTCTTGAGAAAATAGTGATCTGTAAGAACAAAACAAGGGCCAAACTTCTGAAAGTCTTTTGATATTAAAAACAATCAATCAGAATCCTCAAAGTGTATGCTAAATCTCCTCTCTGATATATGCATTTCAAATGAATATATCCAATGTTTTGTTAATAATAGAGATCTAGAAATACTTCAATCTCCTTGACATCCTTCACATTTAAATAATTGACATGTTGTGATTTGTGCTTGAATTCTTAATTTTTTCCTTTTATCTTCTCTCATAATTTTAATAAAATTTAGCTGGCAATTTGTATAGTTTTTAATGCCTGCTTGAAGTAGTTCTCAGACTTTTATTTTTCAAACAAGAGTGGCTTTTTGTTTCTAATCTCTTTTTTGTCTGTTGAAACAAACTAAATTAGCTCTTCTCTTAGCATGGATTTTAATCTTTGCAACAAAACACTTCTTGATACATAGTCTTTATCATTGTTCTTTTGATAATCCTCAATTTCAATTTTAATATTTCTCTTGGCAGTAATGAATTATTTATTGGTAGAGTTATTGTCAGTTTTATTTTTAATACTTAACTGTGGACTAATAATTCAGTTCTTGAAGCACTGTAATTTCTATCTTTCAGTTCTCTTACCAGAGTAAAATATTTCTAATCTTAATAATTGTGATATGATTATAACTGAATGTGTTTCAGTCAGTATTTAAAAATTTTTTTCTCATAGAAATAACTCTTCTCACAGCTGGCATGTAGTTGACACAGGATATTACCAAATAAATACTACCTGGTCTGTTGAATGCTAGAATACTTCTCTAATATTGATAATATCTGTTGATTAACATCACTGAAAATTTATTTTTGAAGCTATGGCTTGTTAAACATCTATTATAGCCAACACACATCTTTTTGCTTTAATTTTCACTTTTCATGAATTCATCAAAGGTACTAGAAATATCAGTACACTATTCTTATGAGTTTTTAAATAATACCCTTAACTTTTACTCAAACATTTCTATTAAAAAACAAAACCATAGGAATCTACATATTGGTGATAGGGAAGTCATATTCCCATTCTCACTACTCCAATTATATGCTAGGCCAGGCACTTTTAAGAGCTTTCAGAGAAGACTTCTTATTGGATTTACAAAGACTGAGAAATTATGTCCATACAGGACTACCCTTCAACTCATGCAGCACAAGATGTGTTATTCTTTTTGATGCCTGTATTTACTTTCTATTCCCCAACTAGTCAAGCTGCTTGCTGTCCACAGGATGAAGCTATTCTAAAGCATTTGCAGGCTGTGTTGTGAAGGAATAACATTTTTTCCTGCGGTGACCTAAGGACTTTCTGACTCTTTGTCTTTCTTCTCTGAGGCTTTTCTTGCACGGTGTTGTACCAACCTTAATAATCTAGCCTGCAGTTGGAGTCACTAACGCTTTGTGCAACTTTGCTAACACCGTTATCATAAGGATATTAGGATTTTCCTTGTTCTTCACTGTCTTTATCATATAACAGTTCTTGAGATCACACAAACACCCTTTCACAAAGTGCTTGGGAGGCCTAATAATATGTCCAACTCTAGGATTCTGAATAATTATTTCTCTGTATATCTTTGCATCTTTTTTTCTTCATTATTTTTATTATGGAAGTATAGATTCTTAAACCAAGAAAAAAACAAAAAAGAAAAATCACAAATTTCAACCAAGTGCCTGACTTTCAATATCCATTCAGGAGTAGGTTGTAACTTATAGAAACATTTTTGGACCAGTCTGTTTGTTTTTTTTATATATATATTACATTTATGATATTTTGATGTCTGGAGTAGAGAGACATGGTGTCATCACAGAGAGTGATTATGTGGCCTTTCGCCATGCAGTCACTTTAAATCTTCATGAGGAAAATAATACAAAAAAGACATCCTTTGTGAAAGCGGAAGAAAGGTTGCTCACAATGTGACAGGTAGGTAGCTTGTGAAAACAGACTGACAGAGTCAGGTGCACTCACCAAGTGTAAACTGCCAACAAACTGTCAACTGCCAAAATGAATTAGACTCTCATACCAAGGAGGCCTCAAATATTAAATGTTTAAACATTCAGAAACGTCACTAAGACATCTAGTCATGCTATGTTCCCATGTGTGTCCCCGCCACACATTCAGTGCTGTCCAAAAGTAAGAAAAATTAAGACATATTCTTTATCTTGCATGAATATTTTATCAATATGATTCTAATATTGAGAGAGAGGGAAAAAAAGATTGTCATGTGTTATGTGGCTGTATCCACTTTCATTTTGGTTGATAATTTTCTATATTTTTGTTTTTAAACATTTTCATCTTTAACATTTTTGTTTTTAAAGTTGTATGCATCTTTTGTGATATATTCTATTTTGTTTCCAACACCATTAGCATAATACATACATAGCATATGCCTAAACACAATTATCACTTTGGGTTATTTCTGAACCTGATAATTGAACCTAATTCCTGATAATGGAATTGACTCCCAGAATATTTTCCCTTCCTTTTCTCCCTCTGTGCCACATCATATCTCTGTTATTCAATAATAATAATGATGATGATAATAATGCTTCGGTTCGCCAAATGCTTGCCATTGCCTTCCTATATTTCCATTTGTCTTCTTATATTTTCTCTTTTCTTTCTTTTATTCCTATAGTTATTTTATTCCTGTATGTGTCAGTTGTGAAATGGATCAGTTTGGGAAGCACTCGTTTGTGGGTTGACCAAACAATCAGCACTTTTTTCCTCTATTGAAAATCAGCTAAACAGACTAATTGGCTAAGTAGCCTCATAGTTGTTTTTTTTTTTTAATTAATTAGCAAGATACATTCATTTATGGTCTTTTGCCAAACATCTGGTGAAGAAAAGATTTTCATAAGCTTAATGTGGTTCTTTTGCCATTGTTGAAATGATGACTATAAATAATACATACTTTTGCACCTGCCACTTCAATCTTCTGACACTCATTGATTCCTTTTTCAACTGATGTTACAGGGACATTCTATCACCAGAGGCCTTAAGTCCTTTCTCTGCTACATATAAGGGTTATTCACAGAGCTCTTTTATTTCTTCTCAGTGCTCTCTTTTAGCCACAATGAATATATTGCACTATTGTTCAGTACTTGAATTTTCTATGATATTTTGAATTGTATCATCATTATAACTATTCAAAAGTTTTATATTATAAAGAAAACATAAAACAAAACGTCAAGTTTCTAATCACAGAATTAGTTTAATCAGGCATAGCTCCAAATTTTAAATATTATTATGTTTCTTTTCATTATTTTTGATGGTGGATTTCTTAATTTATGGATAGTTTTCATGAGCGAATCCTTCCCTTTGGTTTTCGCTGAAGGTCTGTGGCTCTTTTCCTCCTTTCCTTTAACCAACATGACATGACTATGCTGACATAGTTCCATCTTGAATAATGTATTTCTTTCAATGTTACTTGAAACAACTAGAAACCTATACTTTCCCTTCCTCCAGAATATATGGGACAACTTATATACTTATTTGTAAGCTTATGTTTCATTGTCTTTCCCTAGACTATAAACTTTTTGAAGATAGGAACAATGTCTATTTATTCTACAATATACATAAATTCCATGACAGCCATTTAGAGGTGTTCACTAATTGTTGAGTGAGTGAATTAGCTTGTATTTGGCTTAGTTGAATTGTTTATTGGTATCCAAAGAACCTTAGGCTATTAATAAAGACTTGGCCCAGTCAGTCCTGCATCTTTCAATCAGGCTACTTAACATATTATAAAGTTTTCTTCATAAGGAAATTGTAAAATGACTCATTAGTACCGTTCTTGGCACAAAATAAGCACTCAGGAAATCTTTTCCTCTGAAGTACAAACTTCAGCTATTTGCCAGGCAATCTTTCCACAAATTTCTGAAGTCTTTAGTTTCTCTCTCACATCTCCAGTTTCCTATTTCTCTTCTTTTATTTACATTTTCACTGGATCCTTCAGATCTCTCAAGCCTCAATCATGGCCATGTTAATTTCTCCATCTATTAAGTGACACTTTGTATCATAAAGAAAAAAAAAACAGAAAAAAGTAAGAGATGTCTAGTGATATGAGAAAAAGAATAAAAATTCTATTGGATTAGAAAAAAGGTTTAAAATTTCATGACCATTTAAGATTTACCTGAGATGTTTCTTGATTTGTTTCATTTCGTTTGTTTTTAGAAAAGAAAATGTCATCATGCTCTGGAGAGAACCAGGGATCTCTGAGAGTTCTGTAGCTTCCAGGAAAGAGGGATTATGGAGATGAACTAACACACGGTACCAGATTGTTGTTAGATTTTTACTATCAATGATCAGGTTTAATAAATAATTTCCAGTATATAGGGAGATCTAGTTGATATGTAGATAAGTAGATTAAGTCAGGTCACCTACTTTCTTTTCTTAACCTAGAGGTGACCCACTCACTTTCTTGATTTATTTATTTTTTTTTTGGCACAGCTATTGATAGCTGTCCAAATAAGTATCTTCAAGGCTTGTAAAAGCAAATAGGAGAGAAGGAAAAATAAATATTTAACTCAATTTTGTAGATATAAACAGCAAACTTAAATAAAGAGCAAACAACCAAACAAAAGATCTATGTGCGGCCAGGCCTGGTAGCTCATATCTGTAAGCATAGCAATTTGGAAGGCTGAGGCCAGAAGATTATTTGAGGTCAGGAGTTTCAGACTAGCTTGAGCAACATAGGGAGACTCTGTCTCTACAAAAAATAGAAAAATTAGCTGAGTGTGGTGGTTCATGCCTATAGTCTCAGCTACTCGGGAGGCTGAAGCAGGAGGATCCTTTGAGCATGGGAATTTGAGGCTACAGTGAGCTATGATGACAACATTGCATTCTAGGCTGTGCAAAAGAGCAAGAACCTGTCTCAAAAACAAACAAGAATCTATGTGCAATGTATGATCACTTCCAGCATCAGCACTTGGTCTCCAACCAAGAAAAAAACTATCAAATGCTAAGGGGAGACATGGGCAAAGGATTTGTCATAGGTTATGGCTAAGTGTCCTGAGACAACATACTCAAATTAAGACTTTTGGGCACTCCAGCTCATTTCCTTACATTCCTTACCCTCCAAGCAAAGGATATATTGAACAAAGGCTAAAACAGTCAAAATCCAGCCTTTCAACTTAATGGATATATCCATACCAAGTCAGCAGAGCAAAGGAGTGTACAATAGAATTTTAGAGTAAATAGAAAAAGTAGACTTCTGATAAAGGATAATCAAGACTTTAAATACAAAGTACTAATGATTTTGGAATTATCAAAAATTCAAGGAAGAATACTTGCTACATGAACCTCTTTGCATATGCAAAATTAGAGATAATCAACTACAGAATTAAGAAATAGAAGAGTAGATGTGTCAACATCTAGCAATGATTTGAAAAGCAGGTTTTATTTTAAAAACTGCAAGATAATGTCAGTTTGGGGAAATCTGTTCATAAATACATCAAACTATAAGCCAAAGAGAATAACACATGATCATAGGGTTGATTCTCACATTACATTTGGTAAAGTCATACATCTATGTCTTATCGCTACATTGATTTACAATTAAATGAATATTTTATCTCTCAGAAAGGAATAAATAGAAAGTAGAATATAATATGATCATAAAAGGTAGAATATTTGTATATTTGGAAACTTTAAGAGTGGTAGGTAGGAAACTATAAGCAAATGTAAAAAATATTGTATGGTGGTTGCAAAGTTATATAAAAATCAATATTTTTTCTAATGATAGATGATTCTAAGTTTATTGCTATAATTTAAAAAATTGTATTAATTGTGTAAACAAATACAAAATAGTAAACTACCTGGGAAGAAATGTAGAAGAAATGTTCATTACATATATAAAAAGAATATTAAATACTACCGAGTTACATACATAAAACAACTGAAAAAAAGAAAAACATAATCTTTTATCAGATCAGAGAACTAAACAGAATAAATGTATTTTTTCTTCTAAATTTATAAATTTAATATAGTGTCAAAGAAAATTTTTAAATATATTTTGTTGCTGAAAGAAATGATTTTAAACTTTATCCAGAAAATCCACAAGTGAGAATGGCCAGTAAAATTCTAAATTGAAAGATAAATAAGGCAGTAGTTATATAGATATTAGCATTGTTATAAATTTAGAGAAATTAAATATATATTATTTACTAGTACAACAAAGGCAAACCATATAAATTAAAAATAATGAAAATCCAGATTTGAACAATTGGATATGACCAAAGTGAAAAAATTAAAGTTAAATAGCTAATTTTGTCCTTATACACAGAAATATGCACATGCATATCATGTAAAAAATGAAATCCATAGGTATCACATAGCTAAATGTAAAAAATGAATGATAAATTATAGACTAAAACATGGTTAAATATATTTTTAAGATTATGATGAAAATCTTTCAAAATATAACATGAAAATCAGAGATCCTTAAGGAAAGGTGGATAAAACATATAACCAAATTAAAACTAACAACACTTATTAGTGAAAAACTTAAAATGCAAAAATACCTTAATTACTAAGAGTTAACATTCTCAGTATATCACGAGTTTTTTTTTTAAGTTTAGAAATGGGTATTATTCATTAAGCATTTGCTATTTTATTTAATTATAATATTAAATGATGAAAAATGTATCATTTAAAAACTTAAGATTAGAAATAATTAATGCAATATAAGATGATTTTTTTCCTCCTCTAACAGATTGGAAAAATGAAAAACATAAAATGCCAGTTTGCTTTTAGCCTCTGGAAGCAGGCAATCTATTTTTAGATAAATTTTATGTAACAATATCTAAATGTTTATTATTAAACTGTGGGAGTGTAAATCACTAGTAACCTTTTAAAAAGCAGCTTGTCAATATGTTTAATATTTGAAACATATGCCTAATTCTCTTACACAACAATTTTTTTCTACAGAAATGGTTCTTGCTGAAATATACACACAAATACACATAGATATATATAAGAATATCTTATTGTTTAGCAATAATAGTAAAAACCTGGAAGTAGTTTCAATGTCCATAGAAAGTGAGTTAGATAAAATTTTATGTTATATTGCTGCAAGAGAGTTTTAAAAATGAAAGTTTTCAAAAGAATATTATAAATCTATATATGCAAATATATAGAAGTTTCTAGCATGTGTTAAATGAGGAAACATTCAAATTGAAGTATTCATATGATCTCTCTCTGGAAAACATGGTAGTTACATTATTCTCTATTCGATAAAGCATTTACCTATATCCCCCTGCCCCAATTTAATGAGATTTGGATGTATTTAAAATTTATTTCTGAACAGATTTCCTATGGTCCAGAAGAAAATTTGTGAATTATTTATCATTACTTACACACTTGCACAGATTTAGACATAGTATATATTTTATTTGCATTGATACAGTATACACTGGTATAATTTAACATAGATTCTAACACTTATTTGCCACTAAGTGGTATTTGAAAATATTCCCTTATGTTCACTATGAGCAGTGCCATGGAATCTTGACCTAAAATACACTAGACAATAAAGTTTAAGTCAATAGAAATTACCATATGAGAGTTTGAGCTGAGAATTTGGCAAGCAACTGCCTGGTTCCAGTGGGCACATGCTGCGGGCTAAGGTTTCCATGGAAAGTGGGTCCCACACTTTTCCCCCTGAGGCGCCTGATTTGGGAGCTCCCTGCCCACCAACATTTCACAGAGTTGCACATCAGTGGCATAGACAAGTAGGCCAAACCCTGTGTCCCCCACACTTGAGTATATTACTGAGGATACAGTGGGGAGGTCTGGCAGCTAGACTTGGGTGATGAGGAAGCCTACATGGAAAGAACAGATGGGAGAATACTGTGGGATTCCAAGACACAGTGAGCTGGGAGAGTGCCATTCCTCCTACAGGAAAACAGCCCTGTTGGGTTAGGGTGGATCCTATAGTGAGGAAGAGCACAGCCCTGGAGCCATAGCAACCAGGCATGGTGAATTCAGGAGCTAATTCAGGGTTCTGGGGCTAACTGGAAGCTGGGGCCCACCCTCACCCATTCCAACTGGGAGAGAAGTTTGAGACAAAAATTTGGCAAGTGGCTGCCTCTCTCCAGCAGGCACATTTTCTAGGCTAAGTCCCCAGAAAGAGTGGGGCCCAGGCCTCTTCTCATGAAGACTTATAGTGGCCCCGGGGCACCCAATTTGGAAACTCCTTAATCACTGGTGTTTTATGGAGACACACTGTAGAGGGTCATACATGCAGGCCTGGGGGAAGGTTTGAGAGATGGACAGCCAGATTGTGAATCTCACATGGCCCTATCATCACAAGCAGACTTTCTGGTTGGATGAGGCCACTTAAGTCCCTCCTTGATGGCTTTCCCTAGAAGCTGGAAGCAAACCTTTGAACCCTGCTGAAACAGTTATTTTATCAGCTGTTGTGGTGCCTGAGGGTAAGCTCACTCAACCCAGCCCTGCCTAGCCTCACTCGCCCACCCATCTCTCTGGAGCAGCAAAAAAGGACTCATCTGGAAGTTCCGGGGCTCCAACTACCACCTGGGGACTAGAGCTGGTTGGTCTCAAAAATAACACTGAAGCTTATTCCTTCTGGCAGGTGGCACCTCCAGACAGGGAGGTCAATTTGCACAGCCTTTTACAACATTTACTGCCTCAGGGTGAAATCAATTCTCACCTACAAGTGCCACCTACTGTCTCAGAGATTAAACAGGGCATGCCAATACAATTCACACTGCTAAGAAGACCATGGAGCTGGGGAAAGAGAGAGGATTTCAAAGACCTCAATTAGCCGGATGCAATGACATGCACCTGTAGTCCCAGTTACTCACGAGGCTGAGGCAGGAAGATGGCTTGAATCTAGGAGTTTGGGGCTGTAGTGTGCTATGCCAATCGGGTGTCTGCACTAAGTTGGGCATCTCCAACTGGTGATCTCCTGGGATTGGGGGACCACCAGGTTGCCAAAGAGGAGTGAACCGTCCCAGGTTGGAAATGGAGCAGTTCATAACTCCCATGCTCAATTATTCCTCATGAATGTAAGCAAAGGAATCTGCCCACACACATAGCTCACCATTGCTACAGCCTACAAACAACTAGCAAGTGCGAAAACTACCACACTAAGGATATCTACAACCAAGGCCTCTACCCAGAACTCGATCACCATCAAAGCAAACACAAACAAAACCAAAGGTTCATACCCAAAATATGCTACAAACACACCAGTACCAGTGGGCTGGGGGCCATCTAAACAAAAGAAAATCCAAAATTAAGAAGCACTACTACTCAGTACTACTAGTACTACTTTGCCATGATAGGGAATGACATAATGTCATTTGCAGCAGCTTGATGGAACTGAAGACCATAATCCTAAGTGAAGTATCTCAGGAATGGAAAACCAAACACCATATGTTCTCACTAATAAGTTGGAGCTAAATGATGGGCACATACAAACACAAAGAGATATAAAAGACATTGGAACCAAGAATGGAAGAGGGTGGGAGAGGAATAAAAACTTACCTATTAGATACAATGAACAGTATTCTGATGACAGGCACCTCAAAAGCTCTAACTTAAGCATTATACAAGGTAACCATGTAATAAAAACACTTATAGTCCCTTAATAGTTTGGAATAAAAAAAGTAATCAGACCCTATTATTAAAGAACTCAGTGTAGTTCAGTAGTGAGAGAATAATTCACAAGAACTAAAAAGTGTCTTGAGCTTGATGCACCTTATGTTGAGAAATAAAGTTTGTATATTTTTATTTTTTTATTTTTTAATTTCATTGTTCCACAAACTTTTTGATGTCCCGTTGTATACCTTAAAAATGTTATGGCATTTCCTAAATTTAGAAATGTGAGCATGATCATCAATTAAAATATTTGCCAAAAGTGTCTGTCTGACTTCTGGCTATGATAAAGTAATTGATAATGGACTAGCCTTCTAGTTGAAAATGACCATAACCCTGGGAAAAATGTATTAGATAAAAATGTTCCTGGCATTGGACAAGAGGTATTAGAATACTATTATTTCTCAAAGGAAGGAAACTTTAAGTAATCTTTATAATTGTCCATATTCTCAAACTCAAGATAATCTCCCAATTATAGTGCAGAAAGTTGAAATCTAAGGAGAGCAAAGCATTTCTGCTGCGATGAGGAGGAAGAGTTCATAATTTGAAACACCTGAAGGAGCTAGACAGAGCAGCGAAGAGAGGTGCCAGAAGTCTGTGGAAGGGTTCAAAGCAATTCTCTGGATTATGGCTGGGCAGCACACATGCAGGATGAGTTTACACAAATAGCAATGGCTACAAAGTTGAAAATGGAATAGAGACGTGAGAAGATAAGGAGGAGTGAAGGCTATGAAGGTTCAGCCCAATTAAAGAAACATACTCAGCCTCTCATTAATGCCTCAAGCATTCATCTGAGACGCCAGAAAAGCCCAGCATTAGGAATAAAGTCTACTTTGTAGAAAAAGGTTCCATCTGGATTGGCCTTAATGAAGCCTAAAATAAAAACCCTATTAAGTAAAAAAGAGGAGCCAGGGTTTGAATGTTTAGCCCATTCAGGTAAGAGGGTCACAGAAACTCTGTGGGTTTTCCAGACATCCCTAACAAAGCAAAAGGTCAAGTCTACATAAGTAAAAAGAAATCAATCAGTAAAAGAACAACTGGTTAAAACAAAAAACTTCACGGAAGGTAAGAGAACCAAGAGTCTTTATTAGATATTATTGGTAGAATTAGTGCCCAGTCAACAAACAAAAAAAATGTGACCTATACTGAAGAGAAAAAAGCTGATAGCAATTGATTAAAAAAGGCAAAATAATGCATTTAAAAGATAAATATTTTAAAACAATTATTATAAATATTTTTTGAGCAACTAAAATACATGTTCAAGAAATTCAAGGAAATATAGGAGTGAATTTTCATAATTTTTTAGGTAGGCAATGTTTTCTTAGATATAACACTAAAAGCAAAGCACAAGTGACAGGAGGAAATCAGATAAATTGGACTCCCTCAAAATAAAAAAAAAAAAATTGTGCTGCAAACAAAACCATTAAGTAAAAATTGAACCACATAATAGGAGAAATATTTGCAAATCGTATATTTGATAAAGTCTTTGTATTCAGAATATAAAGGTCACTTAAAATTCAATAAAAAGACGAGTAATCCAATCAAAACATAAACAGAAGATAGGAATAGACATTCCTCCGTAAATAATATACAGAGGGCCAACATGTATATTAATGAATCTCAACATCATTAGCCATTAGGAAAATGCAAATCAAAATTACAATAATATACTACTTCACACTCACTAGGATGACTATTATCAAAAAGACAGACAATAAACAACTGTTGGTAAAATGTGGAGAAATTAGGACCTTCATACGCTGCAGATGGAAATGTGAAGTGGAGCACACACTTTGGAAAACATGCAATTCTGAAAAATTTAAACATAAGTTAGCATATTGGTCCCAATGTAATCATAAGGATTCTTATAAATGAGGCAAGGAAGCAAAAGAGTCAGAGAAAGATTTAAATGCTATCTCACTGTCTTTGAAGATGGAAAAAGGGGACACAAGCTAACAAATACAGGTTGCCTCCAAAACCTATAAAAAGCAAAGGTGTTGGATTCTGCCCTAAAGCATGCAGGTGAACAGCTGTGCTGACATCTTGCATTTATTTCAGTGACACCCATCCCAAAATTATGACTGAACTATTAATATAATATAGTAAATTTGTATTGATTTAAGCCAATAAACTTGTGATAATTCGTTACAGCACACATAGGTAACCGTTACATCCAGCAATTTCACTTCTAGGAATATAGGCAAGAGAAATGAAAAAATATACTCACACAAAAACTTGTACATAAATGTTCATAGTAGAATTATCCCTAATATACAAAAGTAGAAACAGCTGAAATCTCCCTTAATTGATGAGTAGATAAATAAAATAGGAAATGTGCATATAATGGAAGATTATTTGTCAATAAAAAGGAACAAAGTGTTGATACACTTGATCAAACTTGAAAACATGCTAAGTGAAAGGAGACAGTCACATAAGACCATATATTTTATAATTACATTTGTCTTAAATGTCCAGATTAGGCAAATCCATAGACAAGAAAGTGGATTAGTAGGATGGTGCCTGTGGGATAGTGTTGAAAAATGAAATGATTAACAAGGGGTATGTGTTTTCTTTTATGAAGACAAAAATGTTCTAAACTTATATTGTGGCCATTGTTGCAAAACTATGAATTTACTAAAAATATCAAGTTGTTTACTTTGAATGCATAAATTAATTGTACAGCATATGTATTACATCTAAAACAGTTTAAAAGGTAAACTTCAAAAACACTAAAAAAATTAAAGTATATACAATATTAATGAACAATGATTTGGAGCTTAACAGAGAAAAGAATTATAAAAATGAAAATTTTAAAAGAAAATGAAATAAAATGTTCACTGTATGTGTTTAACAGCATATTTGAGAAGGAAAAGGATTTAGTGAATTTGAAAACATATCAAAAGAAGCATTTTTAATTTGAAAAATTGATCAGAGAAGAAACAAAGGTATGAAGAAATTCAGATTTATATGAGACAATATTAAATAATCTGACATGCATGTAATAGGAATCCCAGGAGATGAGATTAGGAATGCAGCAGAAAGATATTTGTTAAAATACTGCTTGAAATGTTTTTAAATTTTATGAAAAACATCTACTTTCATATGCTTTCATATGCTCAGCAAATCTCAAGAAGGATAATACAAAAAGATATATATATATATATACACACACACACCTAGATTTACCGGCAATCTCTGGTGTTCCTGGGCTTGCAGAAGAATTACCCTAATCACTGCCTTCACCTTCACATGGTATACTTTCACAAGGACACCAGTCATACATGAATTAGGAGCCCGCCATTTAAAAGTGTGACCTCCTTTTTAGCTAATTACATCACCAACAGCCCTATTTCCAAATAAATTCAGATTCAGACTTCAATGTATACATTTGGTGTGGGGAGGATGAGCGGAGCACACTTCATCCTGTAACAACATGCATACATACACAAAAGCTGAGTGTCTTTGTCACCCGCAGAATTGAGCTACAAGAGAGGTTAAAGGATGTTCTTTGGCTGAAGTAAAATGATACTATATGGAAGGAAAGGAAGGAAACAGAAACATCAGAAAAGGTAAAAAAAAAAAAAGTGGATATATATAAAATAATGTTTTTCTTATATTTTTTAAAAAGCACAAATGACTGTTTAAAGCAAAAAAGAAGGTGACATTTATAACAATGCATATATGAAAATATGACAAGAAAGGATAGAGAGGTAAATGGAATTTTATGATTTTCAAGTTACTGTATTTGTGAAATGGGAAGTGGAATATCTGAAGTGGGAACTTGTAAATGTGAAGTGTTCTATCCATCCCAATTCTCTTAGTCAGACTTTTGGGGCTTTTTAAAAAATATGATTTTATTTTAAAATAATTTATTTATATCCTAAATGTGGCACCTGTCTAATATCACAGGCTTTAGAGTCAGATTGCCAAAACCAAATACTCCCTTCACCACTGATAAATTGTCTGCTCTCAGACAAGTTTATTAAATGTTTCTCTTCTTTCTATTCTATAATAGGGGGACAAAAAAGCACATATCACATGAGGTTACGGTGAAAATTAAATGAGAAATGCCCATTAAATCGTTTTTCTCTGTGTAATAAATGTTTGATAAATAATTGTTCACTCTTATTGCCTAATATTAGCACAGATATTCATGTTTATGTGCGAGCTTATATAAGTATTATCTTTTTAATTAAGAGAAAAATATAAACAAACATTTAGATCACTTACTATATGCCATGGAGTTTAAGTCCTTTAAATAGTTTATGTTACTTATCATTATAAACTTTATACATTAGATATAGTATCCTTGTTTTGGATCAAGATATTGAAACATTAAAAGGTTTCCTGACTCGTTTTTAAATAGAATAGGATAAAAATCTAAATCTCCTCAATTACAAAATCATTATACATTTTACTCACAAGAGCAAATCATTGCATTGTCTACTCAAAAAAAAAAAAACTGTGAAAATATACAATTACCATATAGTGAATTTTAGAAAAGTGAGTTGAATTAAACCCAACACATCTAGCAAAAAAATTTTGTCTCCTTCCCGAGCAATACCTAATGTTTAATATTTTTTCCTAAGCATCTCAGATTCTAAAATTTCTGGGATAGTTTGGTATAAAACATTCCTTTCTTTTGGCCTCACGAATCATGAAGCCTGGAAAACTCAACATCTAAACTTCTAACATAAGCAGCTTCTTGCACTTAAATACAGCAAAAATAGCAAAAAAAAAAAAAAAAAATTAACAACAATAGCAACAACAGCAGCCTTTTATCAGGTTATCTATCTAGGTGTTGGGTTACAACATCTATCTACTATATCCATGGCTCCTCTTCAGGAGAAAGAGACAGAACTTTGAGCCAAATACTGAGGCAGATATTTCTGGAATGTTCAGAGGATACAAGTCAAAAATGATCACACAAATGCCAAGTGTCTTATTGCTATCACTTACACCATATAAACGTCTTATAGAACAGAACCTGTTGATACAACGCGGAAAAGGCAGCTCCCGTCTTTGTCCTATTCTTGTCAGCCCTTCTCTCTTTCCTCAAGTATCAATGCCTTCAAACCCCAAAGTCTTACATTTCCTGAGGACTTTTAGGAGGAAGATCTACTTATAATGAGATTTGCATTTAGGGAGGGGCGGGGCAAGATGGCCAAATAGAAACCTCCAGCGCTTGTTGCCCTCAGCTCAAACTCCTGATTAAGCAGCTATCCACACCAGCAAGCACTTTCTGAAGAAACAAAAATAAGGTGAGTGATCATACTACCTGGTTTTAGCATTATATTAAGAGAGGAGGCACCGAAGGTGGCAGAAAAGAGGGTGGGGTTGTCTACACCAGGCCTTCTCCATCCTCCGCCAGCAGGAAGAGTGGAGAGGGAATCTGTGTGCCCAGGGGAGAGACGGTGAAGTGATTGTGGAGCTTCGCAATGAAACTCAGGGCCACCCTGGCACAGGGTAACACGGTACAGCGCAGGATTCTGCTGGTGCCCGTGGAGGAAGCGTTTTGACCAGCCCAGTCAGAAGTCCTCCGGTGCGGAAACCGTAGTTCCCGCTGGCCTCACTGCTGGCTGACAAAGAGCAGCCTGGAGCCTGGACTGAATTCCTGAGGTGGTCGGGCCACAGAGCTGCAGGCCCTGGGCAATTCCTGTGGCTGTGCATGCCCGGAGCCAGTGGACTCGGGGTGCACGTGTCACACTGAGACACCAGCAGCTGTGGCCAAGCCAGTGCCTGTGTCACCCCTCCCCCAACTATCGGCAGCACAGCTCAGGGAGAGTTTTCTTCCACTTGAAGAAAGGGAAGAGCTCAGAGGACTTCGTTTTAGAACTTGGTACTTTATTTTTACCAGCCACAGTAAAATAAAGTACCCAGCAGACTCCTGAGGCCCCTGAGTATAGACGCCTTAGTTCCTGGATGACATTTCCAGACCCGCCCTGGGCCAGAAGGGAAAAAGCTTCCTTGAAGGGAAGGACCTGGTACTGGCAGGATTCACCACCTGCTGACTAAAGAGCCCTTGGGTTTTGAATAAACATGAGAGGTAGCCAGGAAACAGTCACTACTGGCTTTGTATGAGACTGGGCTGGCTTCAGGTGTGACCTGGCACTGGTGGCCCTGAGGGAGTGCCACGTCACTCCTGCCCCAACTCCAGCAGCTCAGCAGAGAGTGAGGGAAGAGAGAAGAGACTTTGCCTGGTAATCCAGGGAATTCTCCTATGTCTTACCCAAGCTCACCAAGGTGGTAAGTACTATCAGGAGTCTCTAAGAGTCACAGCATTACTGGGGTTGGGGCGCCCCCAGTGCTGATATAGCAGCAGTGACCAGAGACTTAAGACTACAACACTCAATTCCATTTGAGTATCTGGAAAGCCTCAAGAAGGACGCATTCAAACAAGCACATACTGTGAAGATTGAAATAAATACCTAAACTCTTCAATGACCAGACATCAATGAACATCCACAAGCATCAAAACATCCAGGACGACATGACCTCACCAAATTAACTAAATAAAGTATCAGTGACCAATCCAGAGTGATGGAGATAGGTGACCTCTCAGACAAAGAATTCAGAATAGCTGTCCTGAAGAAGCTCAATGAACTTCAAGATTTGAGTTTAATAAAATTCTATCACACTTTCCCCCCAAACACTGAACACATCAAGTTGATTTTGTTTAGTCAATAATCAATCCTTTTAGAGCAACTGAGAGATACCCGAGATGGAATCTAAGGGCTTATTCAGACATTAAAAATAACACTAATGAAATCCTAAAACCTTTTATTTCAATGCTTTAAAAGTTTTTATCTCTTGTCAATAAATGAAGGATGAAGTTTACTTTTAGTACAATATCATTACTCCCTCCAGCCTACCTCTTTCCCTAGTAACATAACTGCAATTTCAGTTAATCTCAAGGAAGGTTTGAAAAACTCCAAGTCTATTAGAAAGCATCACATAAAGATAACTTTAAACTTTAAAAATTTTAAACTCATCTTAGGAATGATTGTGATGCATGGGTATATTTTGGATCCCTCAGTGTAGAACCACAGCTTATTCCATTTCATCATCTTATCTCCCTGTCTTCTAAATCCATCTATATTTTTCCCTTTCAATATACAACAACAAAAACAATGCAAAGGATGATTAGAATAGAGGGGTTTGTGTGTGTAATTTATGGCCATATAAGAGTGCATGCCTTATTTAACTTTGTTGAAACAGGCAATCCATATCTAACCCCATTATTTTCAAGTTCTAGGAAACAAAGGGGTTAAAGTGAAAGGAGATAAACAGAGTAGATGTGGAGTAAATAGCAATTATTTATCAGCATGAACTGAATTAATTTCCAATATTTTTGATAATTTAAATTGCAATTAAGCATGTCTTATACCATTTTTGGCACCCAGGACCCGTGGTTGGTCCAGCACAGTCAATCGTGTACCACTTATACCGTATTGCATTTCAAAGGTTTGATAATCACCTTTTCATATTTTATGGATACATCTTCATGACTACAGATCAGACACAACCATGCAACTGCTATGCACGTCCCAGTCTACTGCATTGCCTCAACAAATCATGAATTTTCAAATTAGACTTTGTAAAGTATAAGCAGAAATAACAGAGGAAATTTGATTTTCAATTATAGATTTTCAAACATTCCCTTTTAGTGGCCACATTTTGTTCTTTGATTCTAGGAAGGCAAAAAGAAAGTCACTATTTGGACAGCAAAGAACTTTTTAAATTTACATTTTTGAAGTTATGGAAATTAACCAGTTCTTGAGAGAGCAAAATCATCAAGGTTGTCCCCACCTCAGTCTTGTTGAGGATTTACCTGGAACACATCACCATATTCCCGAGGCCTCCTCCCTTGTTGTTCCCCTGTAATAGCCACTGTCACCATTGTACCTTACAAGGAGCTCTCATGCTTTCCAAAGTCAGGCAGAGTCTCTGAATGTTAGGATCATTCATTTACCTGTACAACATTTTTGGAGTCTGTCTTTATGTGAGGCAACACTACATTGAGGATAAAAGATCCCAAAAGATAGTTCCTTTCTTTCAAGAAATTCACTTCTAGTAAACCAAATTTTATTTTATTTTGTGGTAAGAAACGTGAGAAATTATGATGCTACTTTATTTAAATTCATAAGAGCAAAATCAACAAAGTATGCATTTTAAAAATAAATTTGCATATATAGGTGAAATATTCAGATTTCAGAGAAGTATTTAATAATTGATTGAAACAATACATGCACACACATTCAATATAAGGGTATAGGATTTGTTTGCTTGGTTTTTCAAGTAATAGAGGCATGGGAAAGTTGCATTAAGTGACCAAGTACACTGATTGATAATAAAAAGGAAGTTTAGCTTGGCTTCCATGGACCTAGGAGAAAAAGGAAGTTGCAAACATAGGAAGGTACTTTTCTCCAGCTCATTAAGGTAACATGGTCTCATCTTTATTTCTGTCTATTTTATTCTTAATTACATATGCTTATTACTGGTATTATAGGCCTTTCTGCTCTATCATGCACTTGGTAGAAAAAGGTTATCTTAGCTCAGGAAA